AAGTTTTATGTTTTTTTGTTATTGTTGTGGTGGATTTTTTGTTTTGTTTTGTTTTTCCTTTAATCTGTTAGACAAATACATAGCATGCAAAAAAAGGAAAAATCCTGGAAGAGTTCATTAAAGATTATACTAAACAAGTGCATATCACTAATGGTTCCTTCTAGAAATTCTGTAAGGACGTGTGCATCTTTCTTTAGATTTTTACATAGTAAAAATTTATTCGTTCTGTTTGCCTGTGGAGATACATCTACTGAGGCTTAACTGGAACATTTTGAAATTTTCTGTTCAGGTTCAGTCATTTGTAGAGGGAGAGAGTTTCTTACTTATAGAACTTCGTTTTATCACACTCAAAGGGTGTTGCTCAAAGGACCACTGGAAAGGTCAGAAAGTGAACCTCTGAGACATGACAGAACTCTGTGAAGTTTTTGGTATTCAGCACATGGACTGGACAGCATTTAAAAAAAAAAAAAGGTAAAATCCTCCCACTCTCTTGGAAGATGTGGGTGGGCAACCACTCTGTTCTTATATAAAGATTACAATTTTCTGACTGAAGAAATGAGGCCAAGCACAGAGGATGACAAAAGCACTGTGATTACTCATTCACTCAAAGAACCCCCATGAAATACTCCTAGAAGAGTCTTATCTTGAGATGAACTTCAGTGCTTACAATTCTAGAGGAACAACATTTTGAATGCATATAGAATCTTCAAAAGTAGAAGATCTAAAATGTCAATTACAATGCTATTCACATCTATATATCTCTCTTCTACTACAAATAATGGCATCTTGGGATAACCTAGCAAGTTCACACTTTTGAAATATATGAAAATAATTTTCACCATTTATTTTTTAAATATATAAATAGTTGGTAGGTGGAAAATACCGTCTGGGATCTATTGGCTGAACAATGTCATAGGGCAGATAGACCAATCATGATCTACAACTGAATCAAGATATTCATCATGTGCTTTTAATTGTTAGTTTCAATCCTTACATGGATGCAATTGGGGTTTTTGTCTGTAACGTCTGTAATACTCCATAGCATGTCATAAGACATCTTTAAACAAAGTATATTGCACTTTCTGAAACAAATACAGAAATTGGCTTGCATGACTCAATGAAGATCACAATACGTATAATAAGATTAACTGAGGCTTAAGAAGATCAAGTATTTCATCTGCTCAGAGCAGAATGCCCAGAGTAAGATAGCATGCAACAATGCATATCATAAAAATAACTAATACAGTGTCCAAGAACAAAACTCTGAATTATTTTTATATTATTAAGTAGTACAAAAATACAGAATATAACAAGATGATATGTTCAGAGAAACAAAGATTATCATATCAATACTCACAGTTGTTTATATTGACCGTTTGGTTGTGTAAATAGTGTGTAAATGATACTGTTTTCCAATATTTACTTTTAACTATACTAATACATCTTAATAGCACAAAAACTACTCCAACAAAACATTAACACATTTCTCAAGTAGGCAAACAATTACAAAAGGAGCATATTTTACCCCAGTGATTCCACTTATATACATGCCTAAATTTTGGTGTCATATCCAGTGAGATGAACCCAACTCCTGTTGCTACAGTTTTGATTTAGCTGTCTAGAAACCAGTTGTCATTGTCATGGTCCTACCTTGCTTTGCCTCCAGCTACTGGTCCTAAAGATCCTGTAAGTCCCCTGCCATATTTGTCAGGCCTGTGTGAATGACTTGGATGACTAAAACATTCAAAGTAGCAGCAGATCCGCATGTTTAAGCAAATAAATTTATTCTTCCCCATTTTAAAGAGACTAACCCACAGGCTACTTTTTACAGAAGTTATGCACTGAGTATTTGAAAATGTAAAAAAATATTGTCAGTATTAAAAGCTTTTAAATATAACACTAAATCATTATTTGCAAATGAGAATACAAATTGACATGGGAGCTCTCCACAAATTAATGAAAAATGGGGATAAACATTTGCTTCCAATTAATTGCGGAGCTCCTCTGGTCCATAACACAGATAAGTGAACTACAGAAAAGGTATAATTTGATCTCTAAGATTTTTCATTCATCCATGAAAAGAATACCACAATAATTTTGCAATACTGAAGTAATACTCAGTTAATCTTGAGTTCCTCTAAATTCTGAACTGCTTCCCTTCAAGATAATTATGTTTACATACTGAAACTGAAATACTCTTGAATTGTTTTCCAGCTTTTAGTTGAATTTATCCTTTGAGATTGATCTCTCCTGTCTTAGTCAACTAGAAATCAGACACCAAAAACCAGGCTGCAAGCACCAGCTCCTCTCAATGTTGAGAAACAGCACTTAGCAAGAACTACTCATGTTATCATACTTGGAGTTGTAATGCTTAGAGTACTCAAGATAGGAGAGGTGAATTGCATCATAAGTGAAAATTAGGGAATTGCAGCTCTTGAGTTATTCACAGATTTTGAAGACAAGCAGAAACATAACCGTGACTGGAAAAGTAATTTTAGTGACCAAATGCTATATACACATCTTTCAGAATGTTTAAAAAGGTGGGGGTTGTTTTTGTTTGTTTGTTTTATTGATTTGGGGTTTATTTAATGATACAAATAAGAAATGAAGATATTTTGTATTCGTAGGTTCTGAAATTTAGATCCAAGACCTTACCAAACTTATGATAAACAAAAAGATGAAAAGGTATTTTTTTACAATTATCATTCAATATAAAATTTACCATGATAAAGTAAAAATGGAAAATTTTTGATTTCCCGTTTTCACTTCACAGTTTCTCTCTTTAAAAATAGATTGATTTTCAAATACTTAAAAATACTATTGAGAAATTGAAGTTTGAGAAGCAGATTAATTTTGATTTTTGTATGATGAGTATTATGAATGGAAACATTTAGTAGAATGCATATACACAGTTAAGAATTCTTTCTTTGGAAAAGACAGTTTTACAGTTCTACCTTCAAATACTAATTTGATTTCTTCAACTCTGTGGAATATTAGACCACTTTTACCTCAAATATAGCAGCAGCAATTATTTCCCCATGTATACAGATTTTTAGAAACCTGAAAAATTTGATTTTTTTAATTACTAAACTTAAGATCAATTTACCAATTGTATATATGAATTTCAATTTATTAATTAATACCTCAAAGCTGCATTGAAATGCATCTAAAAGTCTTAACAATAAAATGAAGGTCATGATAATTAAATTTTATATTTGAGGTCAACAGAAATATACACTTGAAAAAATATACCTTATATACAAAGGAAAATGGAATTTTCCTTACAAATCCTTCAGAAAAAAACACTCAGTTTTCATGTGGTTGTCCATTATTACACATGAAAGATATAATCACATTGCTCATGAAGCTTTGAAAGTCATTCTGTCAGGCTCTTTCCAGCTCCAATATTACAGTGTCTCCTTCTTTGTCATCGCCACATTCATACCAAAAAAAAATCACTCAGGATTTCACAATCCAATAAGGGTTTCATTACAATGCATCTGCATTAAGTGCAGCAGTCAAGCTTGCTGTTCAGCTAATATCTTTGTTTAAACTTAATGTTTTATGTAAACACTAATAATAATAATTGCATTATTAAGTAAACATTCTGAAATGTTATAAAAATAGAGTCTGACAGCCATTGGGTATTTTCTTTGAATTCAATGTGCACTGAGTCAGCTCCATACTCTAGTGGTATTTTTTATTCTAACACTATGAAAAGCAATGGACATCAAAAGACAGATATTACTCATTGTAATCTAACTACTGAATTACTCTAAAAAAACAGGTAAGACACTGTTCTCATTTAAACTGAAGACTCATTACATTGGTGCTATGTGTAAAGAGCCCTTAGAATAAATGAAGGTTAGGATCTTAATCCACAGTACAAAGAGAGCAGACTAATTTTTCATAGCATAGCAAGTAAAAGACAAACACATATCAGTTCTACAAATATGGGATACCACTGTAGTGCTGTTTGTATTTCTTTTTACCTTCTGAATCGGCTAATCCTACTCCCGACTGCTTTACTGGTTCTTGTCCGTTCTGGCTCATCTTCCCTCTGTTAAAAGATATGGTGGTTGTTGTCAATAAGACCATAAAGACATGAGAGCTAAGGAAATGATACACCCAAGCCATTGAGGCTTGGTTCTTTACAAAAAGACAAACATCAGAGGTATTTCTAAAAAAAAATTATATATATATATATAATTACAAGAAAAAAAATGGTAGATTTTTTTTTGTTTGTTGCTATTTGGATAAATCACTTAAGAATATTATTTTTTATTCTCTTTAGAAGGCAACTACAATACCATTACTTTAAAGGTAAGGCATACTTGTGGTCATTGTCTTCTTTTAATGATTGCTTTACTTTACAGTTTAGATTTAGCATAAGAAAGAGTTCTATTCTGAAGACTTATATTAATCTTAAAGTGAATGGAACAAATCATGCTCTGGAGGTCCCTATTTTCCTGCACCATGTGTATAAAGAACCTGTGTTACAATCTTGATGCCTATTTTTAGGCAATGAAAGTTAGACAAAACATAAGTTATCTAAATGTACTTGTTGCAAGCTCTAAGGGATGATTACGATCACTCTGAAAGACGTCTGCTACTATCAGACATTTGTGCTTCTGGTTTCCTTTCTCCCTTAAGACTCTGAAATGCTGTGACAGAGAATATAAGGCATTATCTTCAGATGCATGTGATTTCTTTGGGGTTAAAGGGTCAGCACTGGTCTTTGCTACCAATGAGCCAGCTTTATGTCTCAGCCACAGAAGCTGTCCAAACCCAGAGTGAACTAAAAATTGGTATAAAATTACATTTTTTAAAGTGATTTTTATATTCAATTTTAACGGAAAGACATTCTTTTCATCTTTTGCAGGTAATGCTTCATAAATCATATCAAAGATATGATACAAGAATTATTTGTCCCAAGGGTTATATTCCTTACACATTATTCTGTTGCTTTTCACCTTTGCATTCAAAATGAATATAATTTTGTAGACATTGTACTGCTATAAACGGGTTACACAGACCATAGAGAATCTGGTCTTTATCAGAGATTATAACGTGTAACTTTCAGGAATATTACAAATGGATAATAAAAGAGTATTTTAAAAAAATTCCAAAGTAGAAAGATTACAAGATATATTCAGTTCTGTGTAACTGTATATAATGATTAATTTCCCTTGATAGTTATAGCTACTTAATATTGGCGAGTATACTAATTAGTCACCTCATCAAACAATTCTCATGCTGTCAATATTTAATTATTTTATTTTGCTTCAAGACTAATTGTTCCTATGGCTAAAAGCATTTGGACTAAAGTAAAGAGTTTAAAACTTAGCATATCCAACATGTTTTCTATTGATAGATCAAAAACTTAATCTAAGAAGGAAGACAATAACCAAAGAGGTTTTTAAACACCAAGATACTTAAAAGCATTTAGCCTGCTTAACACTTCACATCCAAACTGTGAGCTGTGTTCTTGTGGATATGCTGAATTAGTGTACAAGGTCAGAGTCCCTCAAGTTATTATCAAGGCAATGTGAATGCAAATGTTAACTAGAATATCAATCATACGTATATGCAGATAAATAAGAATTTTTATACAGAATTCAAAATAGAAACAGTTATCTGCACTAAACATTTTTTCCAGGAATAATCTGACAGTAAACAGTAATTTTGTTATTCATTTTCATTACATTGCTGTAAAGCCCTGGAGACTAACATGAAAAACAAAGCATGTCTTGTCTGTATAAATTTCCTGTGTAACTGTTAAAGTCTCTGTCTAATATCAGCATAAAAATAATTTACTTTACAATGTCATAACAAAGAAAAAAATAGTCTAGCCTTAACAGAAAAAAAGAGACCTGGATATATTTTATTTAATTAAGTTTAATTCATGAGAACAAATTGCTATAAGAGAAATGCTGAAGCTGTGGAGACTTACTCCTGCTTTTCAGTAGAAGTGGGGCTGATTTCAGGCTTAAGAGACCAGTGAATCTGTCAGCCAAATACCAAGTAACTGTAGGTACTGTCACATTGTTAAATGATACTATTTGGACTCAAATGTAGCCTATGTGAACTGAAAATTTCTATTGAGAACTCCATCTTGTGTTTCTGTGAACAAAGATTTTATGCATCTTTGCTTTTCTCACTAGGAATGAGGGCACAATATTTTTCTTTTGTTGCCAAAGTTGATTAAAAACATCTTTTTTGCCCCTGGGAAGTATAACTCTTTTTTACCTAGAAGAATGTGAGGGAAAAGTTCAATGAAGATCAAGAAACTAGTATCCTACAACCTGAGCTCACATCATCCTCTTAAATTCTGAAGATGAGATTGAAATATTAGATTTATCTCTATTTTTCCTTTAGCTACTAACAAGCTGTAGACAAATACTATTGGGCTTTATTTTAGAAAATGATAAATTTTCAGATACATCACAGTTCTGGAGAAGGATTTTTACTTCATTCAAGTTTTTCTAGGAAGCCTCTATCTTTTATGACTAAAAGTTCAGGATTTCAAGGGAAAAGCAAAAAACTTATGCTCCAGAGAAAAACATTGAACAACTATTGCAGACAGTGAATGAGCAATGACCACCAACTCATACTTTGAGAGCAGTCAATCTATAAATTTTTTCAGGCTAGAATTAAAGGTTTATCAGGAAAAGTTACTTTGTCCTATAAAGAAATATAAATGAAATTGCTAAATGAAGGCACATGCTGACAGAGTAGAGGGGAAAAAATCCTGGCAAAACTTTTCTCTGTGGAGTGCTTAACTAGGTAAAATGTTTTGAAAACTAAATCATTTTATAGGATCATTACACTTGATAGTAGCTTGATAATTCCTAGAGGGACTCTGTACCAAAAAGCTTTTTTGCAAACAACAACTAAAAATTCTACTCAAGCTCCTAAAAACCTGGGAAACTTAGGGGTATATCCACAATATAAATTCCATTTGCATTAGTAACACTTCTCTATAGGAGGAAAATCTGAAAACTTAAACTAAGCATTCTCGGGCCTAGAAAAATTGTGCTACTAAAACATGAGCCAAGGGCAACACTACATACTTTCATCAAAGGCTTAGACTAGCACCTCTCCTGTGTGACAGGAGAAAAAAATGATGAGGTTGAGGCAGAGATTTGGTTGGTTATTAACGACTCAGTGCTCAACAAAGCAGAATAAAACTATACAGTCAGAGAAATTCTCCCCAGTTAGCTGCTATTCTACTGCATCACTCAAGTCTGCAGAGGAAACTATGCAAGAAGATGACTGGTAAGTGAAAGGGCTATAAATTGCACATGGAGGATATAGTATATTAAATAAAAAGCCTTACATTCTCGGGATGGGAAATAGATTATTCTCTCCTGTGGCACTGCTGCTGCCTTCGCTATCCATGCTGTATCCACTGCCAAAACTACTGGCTGATGAGCCAGTGGAGACAGAACTTTCTGCAGGTCGGTGATTAGTAGACCTTGCTGTACAGGGCAGGAACAGTGGGTTACTAAAAAACTTGTGAGACATCAGTACCACTGAAATTAAGAAAAAGTGTAGTTTATCAAAATCACATGCTTCAAACACTTTCACTTTCATATTTTACATTCAAGTATTGCTTTATCATCTTTTGCAGATGATGTTTATTTCCACATAGAATAAGGTGTTCTAAACCAAATTATATCCCACCATATTTTTTCTCCAGTCATTTTAATTGCTCAAATCAACAGCCTGAAGGGGGAAAAGAAATAGGACAGATTGATTAACACTGCTTTTCTGACTAAAGTTACAGAAAATCAGTTATTCATCTGAAATCTTTCTTATGATAATCTTATAAAAATGAAAGTCCCAGTGGGCCTTCCTCACATTCCTCGTGAAATGTTCTTCGCATTTGGTGATTTTGAGAAGGGGTCTGAAAGGATATATAAGTACACAATCTATAGTCACAGAGACTGTATGAAGGCCTCCACCCCTCTATAGACATAACACAGCTACTGCATTATATTTCTCAACTGCTCCTACCCATCTGGATCTCACTACGTGTCTAGAATTTTAATGCACATATTTTGAAAGGAGATGCCTTAATCTAATTTAAGACCATTTGGTGTTAGTATAGCATATGTTAGTTTAACTTCGGATTGCCTTATTTTGTGTTTTGGATATTACTGCACTACATGAACAAATCTCCCAGTATTTGGCATTTAGCAAGTTGAGAAATATAAACAAAAAAAGGACACAGTGACATTGCACAAAATAATTAATACAGGAACAATAGAGTAGCTATTCTCATATTGAATAACACAATTGTCTGGGAATATTAATGCAGACTTTTTTTTTTTGTTAAATGTGTTTTATCACATCTACTACTGTAATGTTTCATCTATTTAAACTGACTGAGCATATATACTGAAGATAGAAAACACTTTTTTTGTAAAGTTATTTTTCTATGAAGAATTAAGGAGATTTTATGGTATTTTAGTGAACTGTAAACTCTTATACAATCTCAAAAGAGATTCTTCTTTAAACAAGAAATTACTCAAGTATCTAACCTGAAATTTAATAAGAGCCAGAGCCCCAACAGTGTCTTGCTTCAAACTGGCAACCAATATTATTTACGCCTGACTGACTGAATAATACTTTTGGTGAAGACTTCTACATTCTGCCTGATGTGGAACTGGGGAGCTGAGTGTTACTCCTCAAATGTAACATAAAAACAGGTGAGTAATTTGAATTAGATGCACTGAATGAAACAATTCTTATATCATCAATTCTTGGGCCAAACTTTGAGTTAAGACAGAACTCTTATTCTGCACAGTGATTCTTCACTGCTAAACCAACCTGTCATGCAACATTTTTATCTTTTAAACTCTATTAGTCTCCTTTGTTTCACTGTTGCCTACAGCCACAAGAGGAATCTGTCTACATTGTTTTCAGATAAAATTGTTCCTTAGCTCTATTTCATGATTTTATACATCGATCATAGGCTGCCTTCTTGGATGTTGATACAAATTAATAAATTTTTAAATCATACTATTACTAACAGATACTCTCAATATCTCGCCTGGAGAGAAAGGCACCTATGTTTTTTCCAGCAGAGACAGCCAGCTCAGTGTGCAGTGAATGCTCTGTCACTTCCAGCTGGTGGTACTGTGAGTGAATTCCTATGACGACGGTGACATGTCAGCAAACTGCCCCTGGGAAAGGTTGGGCAAGAGCAAGATTTCAAGGGCAGAGGTCAACTTCTCCATTACAGGGCATTATTGCCAGCTGCCCTGTATTCAACATCCTGAATTGGTGCTCTCTCATGCCTGTCCCAAACTAATTCATAACATCAATTCGCAGAGTGTTTGTGTGACATGTATGACTCCAGATGTTTGCTGTTTGGGATTCTGAGGGTTTCTTTAGGTTCCATTGTTTTGGTTTGGCTTGGTTTGGGTTTTTGTTTGTTTGGGGTTTTTTGTGATTTGGTTGGTTGGTTGGTTTTGGCTTTTGTCTTGTTTTTGTTTTTTTCCATGGCATGACAAATGCCTCACAGGTGAGAACAATTGGGAGATCAACACATCTGCAAAACCCATGGATGCCAAAACACTATTGTGCCAGCCCATCTTCATCCTTTTCTTAGGCATGAATTTGCTTAGTGTAGCATGTATATCTCCATCATTACATATGTGGCTTGAAAGGATGTTTCGTATCTCAGCTTTTATTTTTGTTGACTTTGCTGTAAAAGCTAGTGCCTGAAGTAATTTCTTGTATCTTTACTGGTGGATTTCTAAAACTAGCAAGAACTTAGAATTTAGTTCAAGCCAGAAAAGCTTGAATTAAGCCCTTATAAATGGTTTAGAAGTTTTCCTTCATCTATTTGTAATCAATACATAGCTCTTTCTTTTGAAACAGCTGTATCCTGATGACACATTCAGTATACTGTATTTTTATCTTCTCTATCGTTTTCACTAATTCACATAATTTTCCATATTGATGTTTTTTCCATAAGATCTCTTGATGGACAGTTATAATGGATCTAGATTTAGTTTCATGTCTGGATTTTGAAATTTCTAAACTTTAATGTTTTTTTCCCCACCTGTCTGCTCTATGAAAGTAATGAACTACAGTGCCAGTTTGTGACAAGACATGAAATCCACAAATAGATTTACAGCTGATTTCATGACAAATTGAGAACCTTGATACAGAGAACTTATCATTACTGGTGACACCCTCACATTTTCTATATGTCTGTATTTTTACAGATATGTCTAGACCTCTAAACTTCTGCTGGTTATATAGGAAACTTCAAAGTTCTGAAGATGTGGCAATGCCTGCTGCCAGGCAATATTTTGCCTGAGAGTAAGAATAACCGTGGTTATATTTGTACTCTAAGCTAAAAGATAGAACTTGCTTGCTCCATATTCATATGTTCAAATGACTAGTCTGTACATTCACTTGCAGTCTTGCACTTTCTCTTTGAACATTGTCTTAGAAACTTTAACAAGAAACTCAGAGTTCACTGTGGAACTCGTCTAGTCTTACTAGTCTATGTAAGGTCTGTGAAGCCCTGAAAGTGTCAGAACAATTTCCACCTTGCTCGGTCAACTGGGTTCATATCCACATATAGACAAATAACTATTGTATTATATTTAGTTTTAATTCTATTTTTAATTACAAGATTAGGGCAGGTTAATTCTTAGTTACAGGGCTTCTGCTTACAGCTGCCTGTGCTGGAAAATGCCTTAGCCCTCAGGTTTTGACCTCAAAGTTCTGCCAGGACGTGCTTTGGTCTGTGGAAGTTGAACAGCTTCATATGGATTTACTCAGGTCCAAAGATTAGACATTCTCTTCTGGTATCACATAGGTATCTGATGCTACAAGATGTAGTCTTGCTTTACTGAAATCTGCAGTGTTTATCTGAAAAGTAACTATGGCAAAGGCAAGTGCCATGGTTTGAATATTAATTATCAAGAGTATGGAAAAGCTATGTTTCATTGCTTCCTTGCCCTGTGGTTTTCAAATTTTTTCCTGGAACTTAGGGAAAAAAACCCACAAAAAAAGCCAAGCAACTTTTAGAAACTCTTCAAAAGCTTAGAAAACTTTTTAAATAGTTCTCATATGCAAGGTCTTGCTGTCAATTACATATGATGCTGACATCTTTCCATTTTTAGAGAAAAGATTCTTCAGGCCTCAGCAAATGGAAGAGACTAGGCTTAACTGAAAGCCATCACCCATCTTCATTTGGCCTCTCTCTGGGAGAGAGGAGATATCCTTTCATACTCTCCAGCCCTTTCTCCATAAACTTTTTATGCAGTTTATCAGGTGCTTAGTACTTTTTGAGGAATGTAACCTCAATTATGTCTGGGCTGATCAACCATTGAATTATGAAGAATAGAAATAGGAAATCAAAGTTTTAAACTTTAATATGAGCTGCTTCCTCCGAAATAATGCACAGAATTTCCTATTATACAAACCTGTAGTTGTAGTTTGATTTCATTTTCATCTGCTAATCCTATTTTATCTGGTAGTTGCCTTGATAAGATGAAATGTTCTCTATTTGGATGGGGTGTTGATGGCTACACGTCATATTTAATAGCTACCAAAGTGGTGTTAAACCTACCTCTGAGTGATATTGCTTTACTGCCTGTTGTACAGGCTCTGTCATGAGCAAAAGTCATTCTAGTGAATAGTGCATAAATGAATTGGAAGACTTCTCCACTGCTTAGAGCAATTATTTCAGATTCTAAGAAAGTGGATCATAATGTTATCCCTGGTGTAGGATGAGGGTTTCCCAAGAAAAAAGATATAATAGTTAGACAGATACTTTTTGTATTGTTTGCTGGAAGAAGAAAAATAGACTTTTCCTTCAACAGAATGATACTTGACCATGTATTCCCCCGCACCTTCTTAGAAAAGAGTTGCTCATTCAAGAAAATGGAGGCTAGTACTGACCTTACCTTTTAGCTACTTCATTTTATTTCTATTTTTAAAATATTATTGTTAGTAGTAATATGATATTAGTTGAATGCATCTATGACAAAAAATATGCTTTTGCTTATGCTTTGGCTTATGGACCCAGTTTAAAACTTTTTATAGTCAAGGAAAGCATGTAAGTAATGACTTAGTATAAAGAAAATATCATATTAAAATCAATAAGAAAGGGAAGAATGGAAGACATATGATCTTGTTTAATCTTTCAGAAAAGTCTGTTTTTACAACAGAGAAGATGGTTTTTTAAAACCTAACATAAGGAAGATAGATCATTCACATGAGACCTATAGCCATGAACTGTCAAATCAGTCAGCAGCAAAATGAAAACAATCCAGCACTGTCACCACTCCAGTCATTATTCTACAGTGAATGGACTTCTCTTTTTAAAGAATTCAGTTTGAAAAATGGGACTATGCAGTTCTGTAGTTCCTATGGAGAAAAGAAGAACAGACTCAACCAGCACGTTCTCCCGGGGAATAAACTGTAGATGTTCCCTTTTTTCTAGTAACTGTCTAGAAGCAGAAATACACTGTCAAAATGAATTGGGAAGAAAATTCTATTTGTGAACCAAACAGAAGGAGGGGAAAATGCCTTCAAGTATTCAGGATTAAGTTTTCAGAATTTGCCCCTAATTACTTGAAAAAAAATTGCTCGTTATAACTGACTTGTGAGAAACTCTGGGTGACAAAGAAGTTTGATAGCATCATGCTGAGTATTCTCGAAAAGATGCAGGCCCCTGGGAGCAGGGGAAAACACCAATCTGCTGTGGGTAACTTCCTGCTGACCAGCAGACTGGGCATCTCATACACAGTGTCTTTTGGCAGAACCTTGGCTACTCTTCACTTTCAGTCACCTTGTGCTTCAAGTGCTCCAATCTCAAACTGCCCCGAATGCCAGTTTACCTGTTTTTTATGAAGGGTTTGCTAGCATGAAAAGCAGAGGCTCTCCAGATTGCTCTGTAAGGTTCTGTTGTGACTGCTTGTTGCATCTGTTGTGAACTGGTAACAGAATGTGGATGCACAAACAACTAGTGATCAAACACATACACCTCAGGTCAGTTCAGTTTCTTTTCCTAATGCTCCCTCACACTGAACAGGACTTTAAGCCATGGACTCATCCTCATTTAACCACACACTGAGCAGTGACATTTTGTGAAATTTCAACACAACCCTTTACAGAGAAATTTACCATTTGAGCTGAGTAGCAGAAGAACAGCACTCTTCTTTAACTGTGGTGAAGTAATTTCTTTACTCAGCAAAGCAATTCTGATGAAATAATTCTCCATGAACTCTGTAAGGTTAGTCTACCACTGAATAGACTTTTGAAATAAGAGTTATAAAATGAAGAATCTGAGCAATTGTTCTGAAATTACGTCAGCTTAAAATGGTGAAAGAGTAAACAGCAGGAATAGCCAAAGCAAAATGGGCCAGCTATTAGACTGAAACAAGGCTCGAAAGACAGCCTCAGATTATTGGTTTCTGCAGAGAGTGGGGACAAACTGTTCTTGTTTTGATAATGATTCTTGGAAATGGGTTATTTGTAGCAATATGAAGACCTATTTAACTTGGAAATTAAGAGACTAGTGACACTAGTCATTAAACAGCTTTGGGCAGTAAATTATTTAAGTGTGAAGGAAATATCCTAAAATAATGTAGGAAATTAAAACATGGCATTGCTTATTAAATGTGTGAAAATGGATATAGACCAAAAAGGACCCCAAATGAGCAGGTATTTTAAATCACAATAATATCCAATTCAAAAGATTTATAGAACCTAGGAATCAATTTCCTTTCACTCCATTGTTGCTAAAGCCAGGAAATAGAACTTAGTGATAAGGAAAATTCCGGTCAATTTTAATTTCTTGCAGCTAAGTGTCAGAAACTACACAGTGCTAGCTCAGACCTGTATCACGGGTTCTACAGTGCTAGCAATATCTTGATGCATACATCACATCACATTTCTGTATACCTTTAACCTGTTATGCTGACATTTAAGAGAACTTTTGTCAAAGTTGTTGGCCCAAGGCAGTTATAAGCAGGTGTGCTACCTTTGGACCTACAGAGTTTAAAACTAGCATTCTTTGAGATATTTAAATTGATATGTTCAGTTGGGTACAATTCTGAAAATGCTGACACACAGTTTGGCTAATGTAGATACTCTAACAGTATCAGCTCTGAAAGTAGATGTCCCCTTATCAGTGAAACCACTTGACGTACAGCTGTTTGGAAGTAGTTTCCTCTTAGACATCGCAGAAAAGCTTTTGTGTCGTGATTGAAGATGTGTAATGTAAAAGATGAAATGTTTTCTATGAGATGGTGTGGTGCTGTGCTCTTCCCCTTCTCCTCCCCCCCATTCTCAGGGAGATAAATAAATAATACTGGGTACATGGGTTAGAAGAAGTTTTAAGAAAATATTGTGATTTAAAATTCCCAGAGGTTTGAGCTTGAAAAAACCCATACTTATTATTGAAAAACAGACAGAAATTGCTGTAGAATTACTATGTTTGTATTATCTTAAATGGTAATTTAACAGGTATGTTTGTATCTTTAACTGAAACACATGGCAATTTCTCTAGATCTTTAACATTTGCTACCTAATTCTGATCAAGAGTATAGCAGAGTTTTTCTCTTGGCAGGTTGCTTGTTTGTTTGGTTGGGTTAAGGTGAGCCAAATAAAAGAGGAGTGCATATGGCATCCATCACCATATGATATTCAAGCAATAGCATATTGACTTGTAGCTTCTCTTTCATGAATGCCTGTTTGAAAGGATAGAAAAATGCATAGGGCTACAATGATGTTCAGGCTTAAATTCACTTACTGAGATATATACTTTTTAAATATTAATTTATTATTTTCCAAAGATCCTAGGAAGAATTAAAATAAGTTTCTAGAAATTCTCTTCTTTGGTCATAAAATAATGTTGGTTTCATCAACCATTGGATATTCTAATGTAATAAAGGATTGATTCTTCCTTGTAAAACCATTGTTCCTTTTCAGGCAAAACTGGCACTTTTTTTCTCTTCCAATAAGGACAAGGCCATCAAATTTTATCCTTTAAGCTTCATCCATGTAGATACCACAGCTCCTTATTAAACTGTATAGTTCGACTGATTTACACTATCTCTAAAACTGACTCATCTGGTGGATAAACTCTAATACACAGATTTATGATGAAAGGAATGTGCTTAATTTTATGTGAATATGCAATTGGCAACGATTCATATTTTGCACCAAACCTAAATCAAATTAAATCAAACCTAGGCACTGCTCTCTTCCTCTGACTTGGGTCCCTTGCAACTTCTGGCTTCAAAGAGTTGGGTCTGAAATATTTTTGTTCCTCTCTGAGGGATGTGATGGGAATGCGTAATATGCAATTGGTTTCTCTGCAGATCACACTCTTATCTCCCACAGGCAACAAGAAAATTATACTTCAGAGTTTATTTTTAATTGAATGCTCTAGTTGAATATTGGATTTTAAAATGGTTCTGAACAAAACCCAATGTTTTTTTGTTGCATCTTCACCTTAATTTTAAAACAGATTGACTAAAATACATTTTTTACTGTTTAAAATGAATACAGAAACAGTTAAGTTCAATATACTTAAACTGATGCAAGTCCTTTGCATTCACAAAATATTCTAAGTATACCATAGGTGCTGGTTTTGCTTATGATTTCCCTTTTGCTTCTCAACAGACACACAATTAATAACTGACAAAATACATCCTATAGAAAATGTCCTAGGAGTCAGAAGTAGAGAAAGATTTCTCCAAGACATTCTGAGAATGACTGAGGGTTCTTGTTTTGTTTTGTTTGTTTGCTTGTTTTCAGGAGCCAATTCAATTCAAGAGGGAAAAAAAGGAAGCTATTGAGAGACCAAGTTAAAGGAAGAAACTCTTTCTGAGCATTCTCCTAGGTAGAGAAGGACTGATGACCACTCACATCATTTCCATCACCCTCATGTACCTGGGCTGAAAAAACCCAAAGAGTTGTTCTAAAAGATGCTGTTCTTTGATAAATGCATAGTAAATTAGCTGTGGCAAAAAAAAAAAATAATAATTTTGTGGATTATCTGTAATGGCTTCCTTAGTAAAGGGCTTTGAGACATAGTGACAAAAATTACTGACTTTCCGAGATGACTGTTCCAGTCAATAAAACCAGTTCCTAATGAGTTCTTTTCCAGGTGCCAGTAAAGTAGACTGTAACAGGGGTGGATACCACAACCATGCATCATCCCTTTAGGAATGGATTTGCAAAGTGATGATACCCTAATATTCATTGTTCACAATAGTCTCAATTTTTAGAATTTTTGAAATGCAGGGGAAACCTGTCCTTCCTTCATCATCTCTTCATCCCACAAAGGACTCGATAAACTGGAAGCTGGTTTGAGTATCTTTGGTGCTTTTTCCATTCAAGGTCATAGACTCATTTCACTTTCATACTCCACAAAACTGCAGTGAAATCGTCTTGCTTTTTATTCCTGCTGGAACTCATGAGAGTCATTAACCTCAAAATGGTAACTGCTGGCCCATCTCATATGAATAAATTTGGACAAACTAATTTTGGTACAATAAGAAGAAGCCAAAACCCCTCACAGGTTTGAAACCAGACTTGTAAACATTGTGTAGCTGACCACACATTGTGCATAAATGTTACCAGTAAAAAGACAAAAGTACCACATCTCTTCATAGTAATTATAACCTCCCTTATATACTAATTATATTAATGTGAACTCTTATTCCCATAATTCAATATGATGTTTCTAATATGTAATGTAATGACTTGTTGCCTTCAGGGTATATGGTTTGAAGTATCATTCCCTTTTTCTCTCCTACAACATTCTCAGACAGCTTGTATTGTTCACAGTGTGCAATGGTGTTGACAGAAAAACCTTCAATGAATCTTGAGAGCTTAGGAAGGCATTACAACACAAGAGAACACCTGGGAGTCCAGTCAGTACATTTATTTGGATTATCCCTCAGATTCCATGTAAATAAACAAAATGCTCCAGAAATCAAAAGAACAGTGGCAATTTGAGCTGTTTGAGATTCTGGCTCTTTATTTGAGATGAGGGGATAAATTACTGATAGGTGGTATTACAGGTGCCTACAGGTAAAAAATAATTTTAAAGATGCTGATAGGAAAACTATCAACAGATTGAGCTATACATGGATCAAAACTCCTTTCCTTTCCACTGGTGGTTTGAAAAATTATCTATGCTAATGACCGTTGACATAATAACTATGTTGGAAGAGGAAAAGGAAACTGTTAATGTCTCAATTACAATTGCAGAAACAAAAATGTGCAATTAGGTTTTTTGTCACAGTACAAGAAATGTCCAATCATGCTTAAGCAGACCAACTTGGATGCATGCTTTTTATTAGGCAACAACATGAGCAAAGCTATACTATTTTTCAACAGAAGTCTAAGTACTCCAGTGGAATGGAAGTGCACACATTTGTTGTTTCATAATGCTTCTTAGCACAGTTTTTCATTATGGATTTATGCGCTGATAGGTGGAAAAATCAAGCAGAGTTCTTGATTCATGTTAACATTTACAGCACTTAATGGAGGGGTAAAATAAATATTTAAATATCGCAATGAATTAGTTGACATGGCAAGAAGGATTTGGGATGTAGTTGGTTTCTTAACCATGTCTTTCTGCTCACCTCCTTCAGGCTTGAGTGGTCCATCAGACATCACTTTCCTGAGGGCTAGTTGGCTTTGGTCTTTGTTGTCATTGGCTGGTGGAGGCAGATTGTCAGACTGAGTTCTTTGAATAGGGAGGACTCCTGCTATGCTGTGTCTGTGCTGCTTCCTGGCATGATTAGACTGACCGCTTTTATGTGCTGCTGTGGCAGTGTGGGTGAAATGGAAACCCAGAGTATGTATCCTCAGATGGAACCAGCTTAAATGTTATTCATGCAAACAGAAGTGTTTTTTCTGTATTTAAGTAAGTAGTGTTTTCAAACACCAAAGAGACACCACATGCACAGCATTAAAGAGTATTAAAACTGGCTGTTTCTTTATTAATGATGGTGAAGACAAGGGAAAAAAATTCCCCCCAGTTTTGCACTATACCATGGTAAATTTATGGCATATCAACAAATCCTGAAGACAAACACAATGACTCCACAGTCAGAGAGATTTAATTTGCCATCAACTAAACCCGCAACTAGCAATCAGATACTGGTCTGAAGTCTGGAGAGTAATTCTTTTGAATGGAATAATTTTAACTTACTAAGCTATTTGAAGTTGTCAGATGAAATCTATCTTGACCCTTAATCAATTCATGGCACAAAAATTACTAGAAAAATTGAACTGTGACACCTGAATTAGCTCTCAACTCCCTTTGACTTTCCTAAGTTGACAACATTGTTGAAATCTGGTGTTAAAGGCTTTGTGTGTTAAATGGTTTTGCATTTAATGTGCTTAATGTTTTTGTTCTGTTTCTTTTCTGCTCATCACTAACATGATCTTCTCTGAGATATTAAGAAGGTTGACTTATATTTCCTTTCAAAAAAAAAAAAATAGATATTTACAGTCATGTTTCAAAAATAGAAATCTCAGCCATGTAGTTAGAAAAAAAAATTTCTTTAACTTCAAATCTTCTTTTGTGTATATAGTATTGTCCTTCCTGATTACTACTTATAGATAAATCCTGTTATTAATGTGGTCTCAGTACTTGTGTGCAATTTAAAGAGCTGGCTGCCACATCTCTGCAGATTTTGATTATTTCATTGGTAGTTATTGAGTGACATCAAAACACAATGGACTTCTCTGTGAGTCGTGAACAACCACGGAACATCATGGACCATGAGTGAAGGGACTGATGGAGAAACAGCCAGTTTCACTGCAGTCTATATAAATTAAAATAAATAAATAAATAAAAGACTTCTAAATACAAGAGTATATTGTAATTATATGTATTCACACACAGGCACACGAAGAAAGACATTGAACAGAGTGAGCACAGTGTGCCAAGAACAGAAAAAAAAAAACAGCCAAAAAGAGAAGGACAGCAGGGAAAAAGGCAACAGATGAACATTAAGCTGCCATGCTGAGGAATTTATTTGCGTCTTTTACTTGGTTGAAGGCGGAGCTGCTGGACAGCTGCTTCGGCAGCAGCGATGGCTGCCCCAGCGTCTTCAAGGTGAGTTTGAGTGACGCTGGTTTTGCTTTGGCTGCGAGATGGACCGTGAGAGCGGAGATGTCCTTCAGAGGAAGATTTGGAGCTCCCTGGGCTGCTGTGGGATTTCTCAATGGTGGGCACCTGCATGTCTACCAGGAAAATGAAGAAGCACAACTCTTGCATTTATTAAAAACAAACAATTTGATTTTCCTTCTCTCGACTGGTCTTTCTAGCTGAATTCCTGAACAAGGAATACAGATTAAGCTGTGCCATTCCGAACAAGGAATACAGATTAAGCTGTGCCATTCCATTTAAAGTATCAGGAATATATCATAATTAGGAAACTCTTACGAAGCATCATTGTCTACTTCCTCACTGTTACCTAGCCCAGGGAATAATTTAATTAGTATTGGGTTTCTATCACCTGTGAATTAGGCCTCCTGTTTTGGTTCACCCTGGTGGAATGATGGGGTAGTGTTTTCCACTTTCTAATTCTCTAGTATGTAGAGATTAACTAGCACAACCTACACCAGTACCAAGTGCTCAGAGAATGCAAGCCATTTTATTCTGAATTATGTCCTGGTCAAAATCATAGCCTAAATTACAAAAGACTCTATACTTACCTCTAATTTAGATATAGATCTTATATAGCCACCAATCCCTAGCAGAACACTACACAGAGAAAGAGAGGAGATGGAACAGAGTCCTATCACTCTGAGGGTCTTATCTGGATTCTATTTGGAATGCTTTTACTTTGATATGACATATAATGTGTTTTAAGAGACCAACTGTCTACTGACCACTTAGTATAAAAAAACACATTAGCGAATTTTTTTGGAGCAGGAGACACTGAGATCAATTCTGCCGTTTAAAGCACTAGTATATTTCTACCATATCAGCTCCACTGATTTCTAATACAATTGAGATATGCTACAGCCCATTATCATTGACTGGAAATGCATATGCATTATTACAGCATAATTTTTGTTCTATTAAATATTAACGTAGCATTTTCAGTCATAAAACGCCATAGAATTTTTAAGGAACATGAAAAATAGAAAGCTAAATATGTATTGAATTTGGCCAAGGCTACCAGAAAAATGAAAAGGACACAGAATCTGTAGTATGTGTGCAAAGAACATAGTCTGTAAGCTGTGCTGTTTTAAGAACACAGTTACTCAGTAAGCTGGCTGGCAGAGATAGAGACAAATTAAGCCTTATCCCCAATTAATTAATCACAGAGATAAATGCATTTTTAATAAAAATATATACAAATTTCGTATCAGTACCTTTATTTTTCTATTAGAACTTACACATAGCAAAGGTTTTCCCATCATCTGGGAAAATATTTCATATCAGGTGCACCAAGTCATTCCTACCCTTGGAGGGGTCCGGGAAGATTCCATGACTTCTGCTCTTGATGACAGATGGTTTTGGAGATTGCTGGCTACTCTGTCCAGAATGAGATTTCCCATGATCAATGTTTTCACTCTGTTCTTTAAGAGGATACCACCGGGGAGTGTTGTCAAGCTGAGAAACACTGGATAACTCGATCAACACCTACAAATAAATAAAAGTATAATATATGGCCTGTATCTGATCTATTAATGATTGCACATAGCAGAAGAGACTAGAGTTATGTTACCAGAAGTTGCAATCAAATGCAAGAGCTAAGGGTATAAGGCAATATGCTGACAGGTTCAGGACTCCTGGGCATGCTTTGACCTCACCTCATATAAGCTGCCTTTCACCCCAAACCCACATTGGTAGTATATTGACGTGTCTGAACTAAGATGTCTTTGCAACAGGACCTCAGGAAGGGTTGTGAGCTAGACGAATCAATCAATCTTTTATCAGTGTTAGTAAAGGAGCAAATAGTTCTATATTTGTTTTTAATAATGTCTTCAA